AGGCCTACACTTGAGTCAGATTTCATTACTGTGATCTGATTAGTGTGCTCTGCAGGTTTACTATTGTTCTAAGTAACAGTGGGATTTAAAGTATGGAGATGTTCTTTCGTAGTGTGTGGAATATGTGATGCTGGAAACATGTAAGTATTTCAGAGTTGTGTTGGGTAAATATGTAGCAATGGATGAAACTATTTTTAGAGTGAGTTTTTGTAATATCATTAGTAGACATTAATTATGTTGTTTAGATGGCATTTAACAACTAAGACAGATAGTATGATTAGAAAGAGACAGAGTGGAAAGGGTTGGATTTATTTAACATCAGTGTGCTAGACTTCTTATAGGTAATGCGTCCCGAGACCTGGACTCCCCCTCTGAGTTAGAAAGGCTTTGATCCGACCCTCCAAACAGACAAAAGACCTAACCCAACAGGAGACTCCTCCTTCTCCATCGAACAGACAGAGAACCAGAGCTGAAACAACAACAACAACAACAAGACTGCAGCCAGAATTATCTCCACCTGTGGCATCCAGAACCAAACAGCATGCTGACATACAGAGAGATACTCTCATCAGTCCCTCAGACAGGGCATGAAGTTCCAAGCTGAGCCACGAGATTTGGCACAAGAGCAGAGTGTGGGACATGAGAGCAGAATCCGCCCTCCATAAGAACAGCAGAGAGACTGTAAAGGAGGAGATGAAATGCAAAGCAGTGCAACAACAGTGGCATGATGGGGGCTGCAGATGTAACTGGGCCAATGGCTGCCTAAAAGAGTTACAGCGGATGGATTCAACAGCTGATGGACTGAAGAGAAGACAGAATCAGAGGAGTTGGCATGGTCGATTAGAAGTGAGGAGGCCGGGGTCACGGCTTGAGAAAACCAGGGGAGGAGAAAAGGAGAACGGGAATGAGTGAGTTTACACATAAACACACTTATTCACAAAACGCACATTTAAATAACTTGAATTCACTTCATAAATACGTAAAGACAGAAAGATTTATTAACCATGAATTAATCAATTGGTAAATTAAAAATAGCAGTAAAGAGGAAACTATTAAAGTAAAATGAGAATCATCCTAAAACACACTGAGGGATAAAGGGGGAGACATGACAGAGTAGAACCATATTCTTCAATATTTTCATCATGTTAACAAATAATTATTTAAGAGATTTGTATTCACGTGTGAATAACGTAGTGATCTCATTTGTTACAATATTGATCACCATTAAAAGGATAGTTTTAGGAACCACTCTATAAGACAAATCTTTATTTGTATGGATCACTCTATAGGACAAATCTTTATTTGTATGGATAATGTTAAAGGGAGAGCTGGTGCCAAGCCACATATAAAATTCCAATCTAAAGTATTGATTTCACCATTGTAGCATAGTTATTACCATAGGAGGGCTTTAAGATGGAAATATAAAATGACTTCTGTTTTAAATCCTTGATAAAGGAGGGAGTAATTGTTGCATGTTCGGACACCCAAGGTTCCACACACTGCTAAAGAGTTTAACATTGTTTTTTAAGTACATTACATTACATTACATTGCATTTAGCTGACGCTTTTGTCCAAAGCGACTTACAATAAGTACATTCGACCAGGAAGACACAACCTTGAAGAAAACAGAATCATATAAGTACATCAGGTTTCATAGAGCCAAACATTTCAAGTGCTACTCAACTGGCTTTAGGTAATCCAGTCCTTTATTGGTATAAAAGTGCTTCGTTAATCGTTCTAACGCTCGAAGTGGAGTCGAAAGAGATGAGTTTTCAGTTTGCGCCGGAAGATGTGCAAGCTATCTGCCGTCCTGATGTCAATGGGGAGCTCATTCCACCATCTTGGAGCCAGGATAGCAAACCCACGTGTTTTCGCCGATGGGAACTTGGGTCCCCCTCGCAGCGAGGGCGCAACGAGTCGTTTGGCTGATGCAGAGCGTAGTGCACGCGCTGGGGTGTACGGTTTAACCATGTCCTGGATGTAGGAAGGGCCAGATCCATTCGCAGCACGGTAAGCAAGTACCAGTGTCTTGAAGTGGATTCTAGCAGTTACCGGAAGCCAGTGAAGTAGACCAGAATTAAAGATAAATGAGTATAATGAGCTATGAAATGCAGAGCTACACAGATCCTAGTAATGTTTTGACTCAAGATAATAGTTATGTACACAAGTTTCTGAAATAGATCATTAGACATTTTAATACTAATTAGGTGTAAATGAATTGCAGTAGTAGTAGTACTCTAAGGAAGTGAGTTTTGTACCAAGTTTCAGGAAAGGTGGGAGGCAGAAGTCCCAATGAAAAGTTAGAATCATCTTGAAAATCATAGTTGAAATCGTGAATGAATAAGGAATGGCGCTCCGCATATGATATATTTTTGTAGATAAAGGGCTATGCTGAATTACCTCCGAGAAGACTCTGCAGAGCACGACATGGCCAAAAGACCGAGACCAAATGACCTTTGACCCTGACTGACAGTGTGACAAAAGCACTGTCCATGACTGACTCTGGGGTGTACCTGACCAAACCAGACAGTGTGAGTGTGAATGAATGCCGGCATGTGATCAGTGTAACTGCATGATTCTAAAACAATAACTAACCAGCATGTTTTTGGACTAACATATTATTTTGGAGCTCCAAGGGAAACGAGAGGATTCCTAAAAATTCCACAAAAAGGGGAAACCGCACATGTGACCCGTTTCTAATCTACTTGATGATATTTTACTCCCACATGAGTTGGCGGTTTGCAAATGTAAAACTAAAATCTGAAGATTCTGTTTCTTTTAGGCCTGAAGGACGGAGAGGAACACTTCTTTTCACTGAAGTGTTTACTGTGGAAATAATGATAATGGATGTCAAATTGTAAATAATGTTCGTTATGTCCCTAACCAATTACCTGACAGTTTTTTGTTCCCCTCCCCATTACAGGGTTTTGTTACACATGAGTTCATGTGTCAAAAGGGGGGAGTGTGTATAATGTATAATGTCAACATGGCTGTAAAATTCACAATTTAAATGTTTCTTTTAAGGATTGACAGAAACCTTCCGCCCCAACCCAGATGTTCAAACTGAGCATTGAATGATAGTTTTATAATTAACCTGCTCCATATCTGGGGATAAGATACTGTTTGATGAATGTTGAGATGTTTCTAAATATTGATTGAATTATAACAGGTAACACAGAAGCAGTGGCCAAGGGGCTACTGTGAGAGATGTAATTCCAGAATAGAATACCGAAGAAGTTGACCTGTGATAATTAGGCAATTTTGTAATATTTTAACAGACATTAGAGTAACTGAGGTTTGAAATGTAGAAAGAACATATTACAGTTAAATTAAGCTAAAACATAGTAATGTAATGAGACCGAATTTAATTTAGCCAACATATTGTAACTAGCCTGGTAGAGAATTAGAAGTAAAAGCCATAGACTTTATTGTTTAGTTCATTATGGGGATATACATTTAATTTAAATTCATAATAGAAAGACATTTGATGACAGTATGTTGGAATTCTGTATTCATTTATCAGCTTGATAATAGACAGGTAGAAGCCGTATTGCCAGGTGCAATCCATGGGATTTCTGCACACGATCCAAGCAGAGAATGACGTACCTTACAGGACAGATACACTCAGGAAATCATTCACTCTGACAGCATCATGACTTTAGTTGTTTTTGAATCCATAATGAAATTGTATTGCATAACGTTATTGTGTGTCTTTACCACAAACAGGAATAGTTCATTGTTATATTTAGATTTGAGAAAGATTACAAGGTTTTTATTTAGTTCACCATGAAGATGTTTTTTGTTTGTAACATATGCCCAGTAGTAAGATTCAAATATCAGCAGGTTCTGAATTATTATTCCTCTGTCCCACAACCAACAAGAATGTGGATGGGGAGAACTATATCTACTAGAACCAGCAGAGATTCATAAATTACACCAGAGACACAGTACAAGTAAATAAAGAGTAATATTTAGCTATTTTCAGATAGTTTAAGCCTTCTTATACTTTGTAAAAAACAAGTGCCTTTACACCAGATACAGTAAGAAGATTATTTATGATGTGAAAGGAGGGAGTTAGATGTTTTCCATACCAAGCTAATTGCTGCTATTTTACAAAGTGACATTAAAGGTTTAAGCTAGAAGTTATGCACAAATGAAAAACTTCATATTTATGATGAATATGTATTCTTATTTGTATTTTTTTACTTTTATGAGTTATGTACCATGCAATGTTCGGATGAAGAACTAATTGATTTCAATATTATTTACATACCTTAAAGGGTATGTAAGGAGGGATTGTTAGAAATTAAAATCAATGTTGGTATGGCGCTAATTTGAATTAAATACACTATTTAATTTAAATCAGTTTTATTCTGAAAAACAGGAAGTTCACTAACTATTAACTTAATACTTTTATTCTGACAATTATTCATTTCCGGTTAGCATTAGCATGTGGCGAAATGCTGCATTTTCAAACGGTGAATCAAAGGTGAAATGACATGTGATGTTGTACACTGAGCACACTGGGTTTAGCACTCATTTATTACCGCTGCATAACGTTTATTAGGGAATGTTTAAATAACCACAGACACCAGAATGATATAATTTAACAACAGAAAAAGGCAGAAATTGCATTGGACCCGCCCCCGACGACGCCGGCCAATAGGAGAAGACCTCCGATGACAACAGGAAGAGCAAGCCAAGGATTGACCTCTTTCTACCTGCTGACCTGGACTGACCGGTCGGATGAGGAGAGCGCCTCCACTCGCACATTTCATTTTGTACACCACCGCATCTTTTGTGTAATTAAATGCTGTTAACTTTTATAAGCTTCCCTTGACTCTTTTCAGTCTCTCCTGCCTTCGGGGTTCTAGAATACACTAACACTATATAAATAAAACTTGATTTGATTTGATAGAACAAGCAAAAGGTAAAGAAGAGACAAATGCCGGTGTTGTATCGGTGTGACTGCAGCGAAGGAAGGGCAGAGTTGTGCTCACCCGCCTCCTTATATCCTCTCCCGTGCTGTGAAGAAGGCGCCTCAGTCTTCAATGTCCGACATCGCGTCGAACAGAGGATTTCGACATTTTACATTCATTGCTTACATCCACACGCCTATTCTCCTCCTTATCTCTTTCATAACTTTATATTTAATACATTATAACGGCTTCAATAGCCACTTTAATAATACTGGAAGTACTTTACGGCAGTTATCATTTACGGTAGCCCCGGATGTCGTCTTGAAGGATCTTCAGAATAAAAGCTTGGCATTAAGATTGTGCGAAAACAGCTTTAAGCTGACGGTACGTCCAAACCAAGTCATGCCATAAAACATTGATTTTAATTTCTAACACATACTACATAATACCACAAAAGAATAAACAATCATTTTAAATGCATACGACAGACTACAAAATGTCACAAAACAGCAAAAAAAGCACGTCCAGTGAAATGAAAAAAAGCACTACAATAAAGTACATGCCAATATGTAAAATTGCTGAAAATGTATTTTAAAAAGCGACAGGACCCTGATAGGGAAGGCCCGATTAAAACTTGGTTTTAAATCTAGTTCAAAGTAATAATTCAATTCTTAATTAATTCTACATCGCACAGGTAGCCAAAGTAAAAATTGTTGTTATGTCATCTTGAGTTAGAATTAGTAACACGATTTGCTTAAGCATAAGTAGAGTGTGACAAAATGGCATGTGATGAATGCACAGAAAATAATTTCAATGTTTTTGGGAGGCAGAAATAACCGGATCTTAAAGGTCCTGTGTCATGGCCATTTCTCCTGATCATAATTCCATTGTTGAGGTCTATAGAATAGATTTACATTGTTCAATGTTCCAAACTCACATTGGTTTCTCACAGCATCTCTGTATAGTATGTGTATTCACTCTCTGTCCTACACGGCTTGTTGGAGCTCCTGCCCCCCCCCTCCCTGTGAGCCCAGTGGCCGTCTGCGAGACACAGCGAAACCCAGCCCGAAACACACACACCAGCAGCCTGGCTGGGAGTTTGTGTGTGTGCTCAGGCTGAGTTCCGCGCTGTCTCGCCGACCCCACACCAGTGAGCCAGCTCACACTCTCCTCGCAGCAGCGAGCCTCGCAACGTCCCGCCGGGTGTGTGTGAGGAAGTCCGCGGATTGGTCCAAACGTAACGGCTCTGCGGACGTAACGTTACCATACCCAAATACGTCACTGTACCTAGGAAGAAAAAGAGAAATCCCCAACGAGGCGTTCTGGGGCAGCATAGACAGGTCTTTCCTGTGTTAGAGTTTTACTCCCTACAGGGTGTACTTTGAGGGTTTGTGACTCTGCAGACCGTTCACATGCAGAAAAACCTTCATAACACAAGGGGACGGGTAATAACCAGAAAAGCATGACATGGGACCTTTAAAGATTCTGCCCAACTCGGTTAACCAAGATTTGACAATTATTTTAACACGCTCTTTGAAGTTGAGATTATTATCAAAGTGACACGGAGATTCCTGCAGATAGAGCTGATACTGGTGGTTTTGGTTGCAATGTGATTACGTCAGGTGTCTGGGCCTATGGGTCCATTTTATTTTAAGACACTCAATTAAAATTGAATGATCTATGGTATCGGTGGCGGCGGTGAGATCTAAAAGGATTAAAATAAATGAGTTGCCAGAGTCAGCTGCTGACAGAAGACCATTGAGCACTTTGAGGAGTGAAGCCTCTGTGCTAGTGGCCACTTTAAAGTCAGACTGGACATTTCCAGAAACCATTTACGGTCCTAAATGATATTACCTGTTCTGCAGCTATTCTTTTAAAGAACCTTTGCCAGGAATGGAAGTTTGAAGATACGATGAAGGTTGTCTAGAACTTTAAGGTGAGTATTTTTCGAGAAGCAGTTGGACTTTTAAATACTTAGGGTGAATTGTGACAATGCCAGATCTGAGATTTAATTTGGATTGAATTACAAATAAAAAAACAAGCAGCAGGACCTCTACAAGGCTGTAGCAGGAACAACCTAGAGTTTCAAAAATAGAGCAATGGTACGTTTTAATGCTTAGGAATTTAACTGCTTTGGATAAAAGCGTCTAACAAGTAACATGTAATGTAACTATTTATCTGTAATTGGTTCTTGTTTCTTCTTTCAAGTGTTACATATACTCACGTTAAGTGCCCCTCTACAGACAATCATTCCAACCGCAACAAAACGATCAAGTCATGTAGTTCTGCATTACTACAATCAAAGAAAGCCTTGGAGAACATGATGTAGACAAAACAAAGGCTCTGCTGGGGTTTGTGTCATAAAGAACATATGTTTCAGGGTCCTTAACCATGAGAAAGCCTCAATGGAAAGTGGAGCTTATCAACACGAGTTGGACTGGGACCCAGCGATTGGGCTGTGGGAAGATTCAACTGAATCCCTAAATCATTCTGCTTAAGCACTTGATGGGTTTAAAGCAGGGGTGCCCACACTTTTTTGGCTGGTGAGCTACTTTTGAAATGACCAGCTCACCGAGGTCTACCAACCAAAAATAAAATCCCAAATTGCAAGGGTTGCTGAATAACACGTTTTATTTATACATGGGATAACTACAATAGGGCTGCAACAAACGACTCATTTGATAATCGATTAATCTAGCGATTAATTAAACGATTAATCAACTATTCGGACTATTACTGTATGCCTTGCACAATTTCTCAAACGCTCTTATTTAGCCATCAACTTTTAGATTTAGCTTGAGGTTGTTTTAGGCATGTGGAAACTAACAATGAGGACAATAATGATGAATACTTGATTCAAAAATACATATATTATTAAATGAACTTAAACAAATTGTGAACAAAATTAACATTGCTTTTTATTTAAATTAAATAAATAATATTTCACATCAAAAGAAACAACAATGTTTTAACTGTAAACAGAATAGCTGAAACTTTAACTAAATAAATAACTCAGTTTCCTCTCATCATTAACCCATGTTTGTATAATTGAGTTAACTGCGTGTGTTGCTGCTAGCATACATAACACCTGGCGTGGAAACGTTACTCGTGGATGGGGCTACAGACCTACTAGAAAGACAGTCGAACCCGGTGCATTCCTCCGTCTGAATGTGGAGCACTTTTGATAAATGTTTAGACACATTGCTCGTGTTACCGCCCTAAACACTCTTAGCAAGGAGCATTGTCCACCTCAAGACGGGGTAACATTTAACCACACCTTGGAGGTTTCTCTCCGCCATCCCCTCCGTGTGCTGCTGCATGTAGCAGCTGCGTGTGTGTAAACTGCCCCGCCCCCTCGCACACAGACGGGAGAGAGAGATCTCGTCTGGATCGGAAAGATCGAAAATACACCGACCATAACCATGGTAACCATTCTAACCATGTTAGAAACGAGTTGGCGACACTAAGACTGCGAGATAATGTTTGTGTAGCAATAATACATGACCTTTCTCTTTCTCAACTCGCTACTCCGAGGGAAGTCGCTGTCATATGCATGGGCGTCGCCTGGGGTAGGCATCCGGGGATTTAGCCCCGGATGTTTTTTCTTTAGCCCCGGACAACTTCTCCCTCAATAATATAATACATTAACCTACTTTACCTAGAGGACAGACGGCAGGAATGTAATTTCCCATGTTCATTGAATGCAACACAGAGGCAAGACGACGCCACCAGACCAATCAGAGAGTTGCATGGACATAAACGTGTTTTATTGGCTGACAGGTACGTACCTCTCCTCTGTGACAATGTGTACACTTTAAACTGTCAGCCCCGGACGCGGAGATTCTGAAGATGGACATTAGACATTTCTTTAATAAAAAAGACGGCAATTCTCAAGTGGTGGCTCACACAACAACCCCAGAGCCAGGTGAACAAGGTATGTACCTGTCAGTAAACTTACAAGTTATGCGAACATGTAAGCAAAGCATAAATTATAGCTACGTTGACGTTACTTTGAATCGCGCGGGTAAGCTAAACCGTTAGCAAGTAGCTATAGCTAGCCAGATATATTAAATAAACACTTTGTCATACAATATAAATGTTGTGTTTTTTAGCGTTTCTTGGTGATTTCAAAGAAAGCTCTCTGGGAAATGTTGACTTACTGTTAGTGTTCTACATGAAGCTAGAAGCTACCTTACATTACACAGTTGATCCTGATTCCTGAGTCCTGTCAGTTAAAGTGTTTCATAGTTAGCTTAGCTAAGCATCAACCTAGCACTGAAATATATATGGATGTTATGTGACAGTATTTCTGAGCAAAAGTCAGCTGAAATGGTGGCATAGTTGCCACTGCTTTACGTGTGGACAGCATGTTTGAACGTATTTGCAGCAGTAAATGTGGCTGTCTGGCCACTGACGTTGCCATAACAACACCTGCATTTAAATGTGCAACCTCTTTTTGAGACAGATTTTGCATGAAAATATAATTCTTCTGATTTATATTTCCTATTGACAGCTAGTTTCTATGTGAACATTATGAGATGGACAGCCAGCTAACAAGCTTTTTATACAAATATTTCAGATCAAAGCCAATCCAGTGGGGCTCCTGAAAGGGAGCAAGGGACACTATGCTCCCAAATATTAAGCCTTGACCCGCATCTTAAAATTGATATGATCAAAAAATGATCTGCATTGTCGGAGGCCTTTTTTCCTCATTATCATGTCAAATTGTACAGCTTTCCTTAGTGTTGAATGCAGAAAGATGACTATATTAGAGTATTAAGTGAAAATGACTATATTAAAGTTTTAAGTAAATGTATTAAGTGAATTACTCAAACTGCATTTGTATAGGAATGATTCTGTCCTATTGGCAGATAACTACTCTTAACAGTGATATCTACAAGAGGTTTCCAATGTAAATGTAACTATTTTCAATTGGTTAGTATTACATTTTGTGACAGTGTGGTGACACTCATTTTAATTAAGACAAATGTGTGTATCTTGAAATTCATTTATTTGACAGAGCTGGAAACTGATTGACTTACATACTTGTTTGTGTTTACCTACACAGTCATCACAGATGAGCCAAACGGAGTAGAGGATGAAGAAAGGAGAACAGGAGAAAGGGACACACAAGAAGGAGAAACAACAGACAAGAACGACAATGGAGACAACAATGAACAGGAACACCAGAACAGACAAGAGTCAATGAGTAACATGACTGATTTAGGGACTGCAGATA